GTATTATTTATCATTCCTATACTTTGATTCTTGTTAAATCTCATATTTAACGTTTCTATAATATCATTTGTACCTTTTTCTATTCCTTTATTAAATATTGACTCTTTAGACTGTTCATCTATATCATTTTTAGATTTTGTTCTAATTTGTTCAGTCATAGCTTGAAACTTTTCAAGTTCTGAAAGTATCATATTAAATTCTGCATCATCAATATATTGATCTGATATAGCTTTAGAAATAAGACTACTTATTGTATTTAGTTTTGCATCAGCTAGTACTTTAATCTTTGCATACTTTTCTGATTTTAAGTTTAGTTTTTTATTAACTTGTGATCCTATTAAATTTACTGCTCCTATAACTAATGCAGCAATCTCACATCCAATAGCTACTGGAGCTAATACACCAGTTGCTAAACAACCCACTCCAGCAGCTCCTAATGCCATAGTGCCTGCTAGTAATGTATTATCAACTGCTGAAATGATTCTTGAAGCTCTATGATATTTCTTACTTAAGATCTCTCTTCTTTTCCTTTCACATTCTATTTTATTCTGAATTTCACTAATCTTTTGTAATCTAAAGTTATGATCAGAAATTGATGGTGCAGATGGATTTTCTGAAAATTGGTTAAGATCTGGATAAAGTTGTTTACATTCATTTTTACATTCCATTCTTTTTCTATAAAGAAAAATTTGTTTAGTTCATTTTATAAATCTTTGCTTCTCTAAGTTATTTTATTATTTTTTATTTACCAAAATCAAATACAGTAGAGTCTTTGTTTGATTTATCTAAACTAGGTTTATCTTCATCACATATTGTTTCTTTAATTATTTCTCCTATACTTGTTAATATAGATTTTACAGATTCTTTATCACTTTGAGACTTTACTTTTTTATCAAGTTCTAAAGTAACCTTATGTGATATATAATTTGCATTAAAAACACCATTATAAGTTGATATACAGCATAACAAATCCCCTTTTTTAATATTTATATCTTTTTTATCGTTATTATATAAAGTTATTTTAATATCATCAGTAGACTCTATTACAACAGAATTTAGTAAATTTAGTGTTGGTTTATAATTTTCTGCAAGTGAAATCAATACATGTCCTTTATCTATTTTAACTCCACACATTAAAGAAATGTTATTATATAAGTTTTATTTTACTGTAAAATCTTCTTGTGCGAATATTTTAATATGCCTATCATTTATTGCTCTGTGTTCTAAATCTGAATTAATATTAAAAGTTATTGTATATTTTTCATGCTTTTCATAATCTAAAAACATTCTTCTCTTATACATTTTTTTTATAAATCGTAAAGATTTTTTAAAATCACTTCGTGATTCTTGCTTCGCTAAGTCATAAATATTATACTTTAAAGTATAATATTTATATTTTGTTTTTAAAGTTCTTACAATATAATTTGCAATTTGTTTATTCTCATGTAAATAGTAACACTTTTTATTATCATTAATATTTTTATATAAAGTTATTTATTCACCTTTTTTATTTTTCATTATTTTCTTTTCTGTTAATTTACAAAGTTTAAAAAGACAATTTTCTACGTTTTCTTTAATTTTATCTTTAGTATGAGCATATTTACATTTATCTTTTAAAGGACATTCTTTTTTATCAAGACTATATTTACATAATTTAGTTTTGGCTTTTCTTAATTTTAAAAATTCTGACTTTTTAGGATGAAATAATCTACACTCTTTATTCTTGCATTTAGAGTATTCAGAACATATAGAAATATGCTTATATCTGCATGAAGCTTTTGTGCATATTAATCTTTCTTTTACAGTATTACAATAAGGAATATCATGATAGTATTTACATTTATCTCCAAAAGGACAAAAATTATCTTTTAAAATATTTTTACAAAAAATAGGTAACTTTTCTATGAAATTAATTGTAGAAGGTTTTCCACCTTCTGTAAAATTAATTTCAACATTAAATGGTTTTTCAAAACTAAATTTTCTGTTTTTGCTATGTTTTTTAAAATAAGTTTTATCTATAATAGGATAATCATCATCGATATTATCATTATAAGTTGTAACATAATTAATCCATTTCAGTTTATCTTTATACAATTCCATAATTTGTACTGTTTTTGAAGGAATTGGAACTTTACATTTTTCTTTAATTTCTTCCTCATCAGAATCATCAGATACAAAATATGTATCATTTTCAGAGTCATAATCAGATTCTTCAAATTCAAAGTTTCTTATTTCTTCAAAAAGTCTAAATTCTTTTTGAAATTCAGTTATTTCATTAATCTCATCATAATTCATTTTATTTTTTATTATTTGATAAATATTTTAAATCAAAAAAATGAAAATGAGTTAAATAATTTTTTTGTGTATATAAAAAGAATGGAAACCGAAATGCAAAAAGAATTATTTGAGAAAATAGGTTCTGAAGGAACCCAGGCTTTGCTAGAAGAATTTTTAAAATCAATAGAAGAAAGATTAAGATTAATAGAAGAAAAATTAGATGTTATTGATACTAAAGTCACCTTAAAAGAAAAAAAGAAATTTTGTGACTTTTTTCCAGGTATGAACTTTGCAGGACCTGGTACTAAATTAAATTTAGGATTAAATCCTGAAGATACCGAGACTACTCATGATATTGAAATGACTGAAGATACTGATGATATTGAAATGGCTGAAGAAGATGAATATGAAACTACAGAAACTACTGAAGAGGATGATGATGATGAAGATGATGAATATGAAGTTATAGAAATTACAGAAACTAAAGAAACTACAGAAACTACAGAAACTACTAAATATGATGAAAATGACGATGACGATAATGAGAGTACACAGAATTAAGTATTTTTAATTATTTACAATAAATAAATTTTTTTGAAAATAAGTTAAACTAATTTTCTTTATATAATAAATGAATACATATTATAAAATAGATTACTGTCAACTATTTAGTCCTATAATGCTTGAACTAGATAAAGAAGAAGAAAGAATTAGACAAGAAGAAGCATTTGAATTACAAAGAAATTATAACGAAAGGACAATGATAATAGATAATAAATATATTAAAACAATAAGACTAGGAGAATTAGGAATAGAAAAATTATTAGAAGAGAAAAAGAAATGTTATGATATGCGCATGCAAATAATAGAATCATACAATGAAAAATTTAGAGAAATAAAAAGAAAGAGAGAACAGATAAAACAATCATTAAAAGAAATGCTCTTTCAAAAATAAAAAAATTTAAAATGAGTTAAATAAATTTCTTGCGTATATAAAATGAATAAAGAAAATTTTTTTCAAAACGAAGTGTGTAAAAATATCATAAATCCTTTTGAACTCGTTAAAATTAAAACAAAAAAACTTGGAACAGCAAATCATGAAACTTATGACGTTGAAAATAACACAAGAACAATCTTCACAAGAAAAATTTGTTACGGTTGTTGTTGTGTTATTTGTTAATTAGCAATCTGACAAGTCACGTGACCTGTGACGTCATGCAAGAAATCTTCATGACCTTTGACGTCAAAGAAACAAAATTGACACTAATTTTTAAATTTTAAAAAATGATTTTTTAAATTTATATAAATTTAAAAAATTTTTTTTTTAGTTATAACATTTATACACAATATGGATGATAATAAACCCTATATTTAATTAAATATATGGTTAAAAATATGGTTAAAAATGATAATGAGCTAGAACCGGGATATCCTATCTACTGCAATAGATTGGGGTTCACAGTGGCTTGTGAATTTTAACTCTAAAAAAACCCAATTGCTTACTGCAAACAACTACCGTAATATGGTCAACATTCCTATATTAATGAATGGCAATCCTCTTACTGAGTCGTCCTCTTTACGTCTTCTTGGATTATCGCTTATTACTGACCTTTCATGGAAACCATATATACAATCGATTGATAAATTAGCTTGTGCTAAGGTTGCTTCTCTTTATCGTGATCGCCATTTCCTTACTTCTGATTCCATTCTCTATATCTACAAATCTCTTATTCGTCCCTGTATGGAATACTGTTGTCATATTTAGGCTGGTTCTTCTAACGATTCACTTTCTCTTTTTGACAAAGTCAAAAAACGCATTGTTAATGTTGTTGAACTTAGACTATCTGCTGAGCTTGAACCTCTTTCCCATCGTCGTAAAGTTGCATCTCTTTCTCTTTTCTACAGATACTATCATGGTCACTGCTCAAAGGAGTTATCATCTCTAGTTCCCTCAACTAAAATTCATTCTCGTTTTACTCGTCATTTAGCTAAGTCTCATTTGTTTACTGTATATGCTCCTGCATATATATATATATATATATATATATATATATATATATATATATATATATATATATATATATATATATATATATATATATATATATATATATATATATATATATATATATATACATATATATATATATATATATATATATATATATATATATATATATATATATATTTTAAAAAATAAAATATATATATATATATATTTTTTTTATTTGCATTCATTCCCAACAAGGCTGCAAGCAACCACTATTAAGTTGGGAGTTACTAGGAAAAAAAAAAAAAACAGAGTTATAGAGCAAGGAAACGGTTGACAGAAGACTCAAAAGTTGAAGGTTGTGTGAGTCAGGGAAATATGAAGATGAGAGAGAGTTCCAAAGGATTGAAGTGCGGGGAAAAAAACTAGATGAACAAAAATTTATATTTTTTCCTTATATATATACATAATATATATAAATATATATATATATATATATATATATATACATATATATATATATATATATATATATATATATATATATATATATATATATATATATATATATATATATATATATATATGTATATATATATATATATATATATATATATATTTTAATTGTAAGTACTGACTTTTTCTCTGCAATTAATAATACCAAAGTATTATAAAGTTTTTAATTTTTAAAATTTAAAAAGTTAAAATTCTTTATATCGTCATAAGTTTTAGCATGAATAATCAAAGACCTCCACGATTGAAACAGCTGTCTGGAGCTGCTGGAATAAAAAGAGCGATGATTTGGGAAAAAAACGAAAGCAAAAACAAACGAACGCTGTTAGATTGCCTTCGTTGGACAAAAATCGAAGATAAATGCAAGCAGGTAGTTAAATTATTTTTTAATCCTGTGACATTCATGAAAAAATAATTAGAATACTTCTGTTTAATACTTCTTTATAGTTCAATGATATTGAGATCGGTATTAATGACTCTAATGAGTTGCCAGACCATAATTCCGACAAACTTTTTCTTGCCGATGGCATCGATGACTCCCAAAAAACATCATCACATTTAAAAAAGGATCAGTTGGATTTTATACTTGATTGTCACAATGACCAACAAACTTCTAAAAGTAATCTTTCTATACCAAACTCTAACGATCCTGCACTATGGAAATCAACATCAGACACTGATCGAACGAATATAATTCTAATGGGACCTTCTTCAAATCCTTGCAATTTTCCAAGAGATCAAAAAGAACGCAAATTCCCTACTTATATCTTTTTAGAGGAACAAAGAAACGGAAAAAAAGTTAAAAGAGATTGGCTCGTTTGGAGTAAGGCTGTGGCATTACTCTTTTGTTTCCCTTGCTTCCTTTTTGGATTGTCTAACTTAACCAGACCCGGTGTTCAATCCAGTTTGTTGTCTTGGAATGGAGGTATACATGGAAATTGGAGAAAACTTTCAGATCGCGTTAAAAGTCATTAACAAAGCGATTTTCACCGTAACTGTTATCTCCAATGAAAAACAGCTACGATTCACTTGAAAAGTTAAAAGTCCATTGAGCATCAGTTAGAAAAACAAATTGGAGATGAAACAAAGCAATGGAAAGTAATTTTACAATGCACTTTTGACGTCACAATTTTTCTAGCTTCAAGAAACTTAGCTTTTAGGGGTAAGAATGTTGTTTTTAAATTTTAAATTATATTTTGCATTATTTTATTTGTAATTTAAAAATCAAAATTACAAGTTTTAATTGAATATAAATATAAATTACTATTTTGAGTATTTTTTGTTTGTAGTTAGGATCTAATCAAAAGTTGTTCAAAAATAGGAATGGAAACTTCCTTGGAGCGCTCGAATTAATTGCTCGCCACAACAAAACATTACAAGATCATATGCATCTTATTGCTAAGCACCAAGAAGAAGAAAAACGCATGCAAGCTCATTATTTATCTTGGAAATCACAAAATAAATTTATCAAGGAATGCGGCAAATTAGTGGTTCGAGAAGTTATTCGAGAAATCAAAAAATCAATATATTTCACCATCATCACGAACAGCACTCCCGATTCGTCCCAAAGCGAGCATATAACTTTTGTTTTTCGCTTTTTGCATTTCAATGATAATCAGCTGTGGGAGGTCAAAGAAAGATTCCTTAAGCTAGAAGAACTTGAAAAGAAGAAGGGATCTGATATAACAAAGTTGATATTGAATGTGTTGGAAGAGAATGAGCTCGACATAAAAAATTGTCGTGGTCAAGGCTACGACAACGGCGCTAATATGGCAGGTATTTACAATGGAGTTCAAGCTTTGATAAGACAGAATAATCCGCAAACAATTTTCATTCCTTGCTCTGCTCACAGTTTGAACTTATGTGCAGTACACGCTATTGAATCATCGGCTCCTGCAAAATCCTATTTTGGAAATATTCAAAAGCTATACAATCTGTTCAGCAGCAGCCCAGTTCGTTGGAAAATTCTTCAGGAAGAGACAGGCCAATCATTACATAAACTTTCTGATACACGATGGAGTTCAATGATTGAATCAGTTAAGCCAATAGCAAAAAAGCCAAGAGAGATGATATAGTTACATCGTCTAAAAGAGTTAGACCTTCCAGGCGAAAGTAGTAATGAAGCGCATTATCTCATTAAATGGATGAATTCTTTTGAATTTGTTGTTTTCACTACTTTTTGGTTTAAAGGTTTGATGGCAGTTAACAACGTGAGTCTTCTGCTTCAATCCACTCAACTCACTCTAGATGATGAAGTAAAGATTCTAAATGGCCTTTTGATGGATCTGAATTGAATCCGTCTGTCTTGGGACCTGATTTTGATAGAGGCAACAGAAGTTGCAAAGAACTTGAAATTTGATAAAATAATGTTTACTGTGAAGAGAACGCGAAAAAAGATCATCTCAGATGAAACTGCTGGTTACAACCACGAAAAAGCATCAAAAAACTTTGAGAGTAATGTCTTTAATGTTGCACTCGACAATCTGACTAGTCAAATAAGATCAAGATTTAAAGTAATAGAAGAGGAATGTAGCAAGTTTTCCTTCCTTTGGTTTTTACAGAAATCTCAAACAGACCAAGAACTAGGTTTAAAAGCTGAGAATCTGGCTAAACTTTACCCAGAAGACTTATGTAAAAACGAATTTTCTGATGAAGTTCGGCATTTTTTTTTCGTAAGAAGAAATATTCTAGCCAGCGAAAAGCCTGTCGAACTTCTAATTGAAGTTCGACAGGCTTTTATGCAAAGGGGCTGCATTCAATATTTCCGCAAGTGTGTGTTTCTCTTAGAATCTTTCTAACATTGCCCGTTTCAACATCTGAAGGAGAAAGATCTTTCAGCAAGTTAGCTATTATCAAAGATTATCTTCGTTCCACAATGGGCCAGGAGCGATTGCGCTACTTGATGATCCTTTCAATCGAATCAGATTAAGCCATTAGCGTTAATTATGAAGAAGTTATTTCAAATTTTGCTGCTAAAAAGGCCCGGAAGATGTGTTTGTCAATTAAGAATTGATTTTATCATAGTTTGTTCTTGCAAACCAAAATTAAATGTTATTTTAGGTTTTTTATGAAAGTAAACTATATTAATTTATTTTCTATTTTAAGACCTGAAGTATGATAGGGCATCCATTAAACTTTTGGACCAGGGCATCACAAAAGCTCTGGGCGGGCCTATATATATATACATATATATATATATATATATATATATATATATATATATATATATATATATATATATATATATATATATATATATATATATGTATATATATATATATATATATATATAATTATTTATATATATATATATATATATATATACATATATACATATATATATATATATATATATATATATATATATATTATATATATATATATATATATATATATATATAAAATAGTAGAAAATCACTTAGCAAAATTTTTTCTCATTTTACGCTGTGTTTCATCAATAAAGGCTCATCAGAAATAAATGATCAAATCAATTAAACCTTAGTTTATACTAAAAATTAAATTACAGGAAGTCACATGTCTTATCTAGTGCAATTTTTCACTCATTTGTGTAATTTGCTGACACTATTGTAAAAAGAATTTTTTAGAAATGATTACTTAAGCTTTTTCAAAATATATATATATATATATATTTATATATATACATATGTATATATATATATATATATATATATATATATATATATATATATATATATATATATATATATATATATATATGTATATATATATATATAATTATTTGTATCTTGTTTTTTATTTGGTTGTATATATATATATATATATATATATATATATATATATATATATATATATATATATATATATATATATATACATATATATAAATAAATATATATATATATATATGTATATATACATATATTTAATACAGATGACTTTATTTTAATGTCATTTTAGCTACGTATCTGACTATATGAGATCAATGCTTTTTTGAATGCTGCAATTCAGAATATCTGCATAATCGTTATCACTATTAGTTGGTTTATTCTCCACCAAATCATACTTTCTTATTAATTTAATTTCAGTCAGATATTTTAGTACTGAAGTGAGCAAAAGAAAAAAGAATTTAAAGCTTTTAAAATATGAACTTAGTCTCTGATGCTGCAGTTTCTATTTGTTTTTATGTGGCTGTGAGTTGTTGGCATTGGATTTGTTGTTAAATATTCTTGCAGATCTCTTAGCTAAGTATGATTTCAAAGCACAATAAAGAGCTTGTTAGATGGTTTTGACTGATTTTATATGTTAAATGATTTTAAGGTGAACTTTTTTTTCTTTTCAGTTAAGATATATATTTGACGCAGATTTAACTGCTACCAAATATCTAATGAAATCAGTTTTTAGACTATGCAAGATTATTTGCGTACAAATTAATCTCTATAAGACTAATGATATAATTATATGCAATGTCAAAAAACAGAAAACAAAGAATTTTGTTACATGCACACTAGGGTGTTTCATATTTTATCAATTTTTGAAATTAAAGTCGCGAATCGATTTATAAATTAATCATTTATATGAAAATAAGTTTGAGCAAAAAAATATATATATATATAATTTTTAGGGTCCCCGCCAGTTCGATTTTGGGCAAATATGTTGGGTGTTTTAAACGCCTGGCGGGGACCTTAAAATTAAACCTATAAAATTTTTTATTCTTTTAAATAATATATGTTGGATTGAGTATTAATTACATAAAAGGAGCATGTTAAAAAAATTAAGATACGCCTCCAAGTTATAAAATACGCACCAAGTTATAAAATAGGTTTTTGTAAAGAAAAATTTTTATGTAAAGAAAAATTTCAGAAGATTTTGTAGGCTAATTTCTTAATTTTTTTAACATGCTCCTTTTATGTAATTAATATTCAATCTAACATATATTATTTAAAAGCATAAAAAATTTGATAGGATAAATTTTAAGGTGCCGCTAGACGTTTAAAACACCCAACATATTTGCCCAAAATCGAACTGGCGGGGACCCTAAAAATAATATATATATATATGTTTTTTTTGCTCAAACTTATTTTCATATAAATGGTCAATTTATAAACTGATTCGCGAGTTTAATTTCAAAAATTGATAAAATATGAAACACGCTAATGCACACAATGCTGATTTGTATCCATTGGCAAATAGTTTTCTTGAATTTAATATGTCATGTAATCAATCTTTTATGCGAATAAACTCATTGGCATACATATAAAATTATTTAACTGCAACATACAGTTTAATAATATAAAAAAGTCAGCAAACTATAACATAAATCCGTAATTCTTAGCAGCAGGTAAACATTTTATAACTTTATTTAAGGGGTATTTCAAAGAGGTGTTTTGAATATTTGTATATTAAAAATTTAATAAATACATTTTTTTCAAACAAATATATTTCTACATGCATTTTCATCACCGATTGTACTAAGTGATTATCCTTTAAGTTATAAGATATGATTATTTATTTTTTATTTGATTTAAAAGTTATTATGAATAACTATAATTCAGACCTGGTTTTTTTTACCAATATAAGAGACACTTTAAAATATTTTAATCATAATTTATGCAATAACAGCATTTAAGTATAACATAAGTCTAGAAGAAGCCCTTGAGTTTTTGTGTACTTACAGCACTCAGTTAATAGTTCATGCAGCATTTGTATAAATTGGTATCTTGCTTAAAAAATATAAAGTATAAAGTTGTAGGTAGGCATGGTTGCTGCTGTTTACCATGCTGTTATGAATAGTAAACAGCAGAAATTATTAATCTTCTAGCATACAGCATTATGTTCTTATTCTTAGTTATAGCCTTCTTAGTTAGAACTAAAAGGCACATAAATTATACTAAATTTTAAATTTAAACTAAAATTGTAAATTTCACTGATTCCATTTAATAATAAATTCAATTATTTAAAAAAATTTTTTCTTTTTTTTCTCTAATAATTATAAAATTTATTTGTTTGTTTGTTTTTTGTTATTTTTTTTTACAAATGTATTAGTCTCATTTCATTATTTTCTTTTGTAATTTGATAAAGTAAAATAGATTGTATATCGGTTTCACCGTTAGGAACTAAAATTGTCGCCATCTTGGGAGGCCAATTTTGGCTTCAATTTTTGTTGGAAAATAGTATCCGCTATTCAGTTATATTTTGAGATCAGTAACTTCATCAAATAAACGAACATAAAGTTTACTTGAGGATATTCTCCTAAAAGTACGGAAATATTTAATTTTTGTTTGTGGATGATCATAAATAAATTCGATTTTTTTTTTTTCAACATATATAATTTTAGAACAAGTCAAGTTTTTTTTAATATATTAAATTTCAGAAAAGTCTATTAATGAAAAAAAAAAAGAGTAGCAACTTATATAAAACAACAAGGCATATATAAGTTTTAAAAGTTAGCAAGTGCATTTACCTAGTTACCAAGTGCATTCAGTGTCGGATTATGGAGGGGGCTAGGGGGACTATAGCCCGGGCCCCGCAATTTAGGCGCCCCCAAAAATCTTTGAGGTCTTTTTTTTTTTTTTTTAGTCATTTTTAGGCTATGGCCCATAAAAAGGCCTCCAAAAACAAAAATAGCCCCGGGCCCCAAGAAGTCCTCATCTGCCACTTAGTGCATTTACCTGTCGTTTTCTAACATTAATATAGTTTTCATTTAATTGATAGATCAATCATAAGTGTATTTTTCAATTTCTGAAATAACTGTAATAACTGTCTTAGTTTACCCTTAAAATCATTTAACATGGTAAGAGTTTAAGTTCGGCTCAGCTTTGAGTATTTTGTTCCATCTCTTTGCAAAATAACTTTTGGGTTATACATAGGTATTTTTTTAATATCTAGTTAAGTATTTATTCTGATTAGCTTTGAATAAGGGATCAAAGGTTTTTGGATTAATACATTTTTTATTTTGAATATAAGAATTAGAAGATGTTAAATATTTATTTGGTAGATATTCCTTATATTTAACTAAGTAAATAAAGGTTGACAGGGTGTATAGCAGGGTGACAGGGTTGTATATGTTGACAAGGTGTATAGCAAAGGTTGTATA